GATTCATTTCTATTCGATGACTACCAAAGACTTGATAGCTTTCATCATTGCCCTTTAGCCTCAAAAGCCAGAAAATGACGCTTGATGAATCGGCACGCCGACAACGAATATGATAACTGCTCAGAAAATGCTAACCGATGTTCTACATCCACATGCATTATTGTAAGTTGAAGTCATTGTGTTTTTTAACTGTTATAAACTAATTACATCGATTTTCGAGAGAAAGTAGTAAGTTGCACATACTTTGAGGTTTCGCATTAAACTTATGCAAAAATAAACTAGTTTACCTACCTTATAAGCTAAGTCAAACGCTTCTCCTACTGTCAGCGTTATTTGTTCGGCCATTTTGTCACTTAGGAAAACAAAGCATTCGTGTCTTAATGGGTCGGCTTCCGACTTTGTGATGAACGAAAATATTCTTTTATCCTGAAAAAAAAATGTAAGATTACTTGCAAAATGAGAAGCAAGCAATAAATACTCAGGATCACCTGCTTATCATCGGCACAAAAAGAGATTTTTTGAAGAGGATATCGATGGAGAGCCATTTTTGTCTTCGAATCTACTATTGTAACTCCTTCAACGTTTATTTGAATGTCAACTTTTTGAAGTTTATTGCCAGACTGTGTGGATTCAAACCGTTTCAGCTGAAACAGGAAGGAGAATTTGCAAGTATATGGTATACTTTATTTTCTTACGCCATTTTGGAATTGAATAGCATGGATAGCGTCTCGAATTACTTCAGTCCCCTTCGCTTCTTTTACTTCTTGCGAACCAAAAAATTTCACACTGTATTCGACTCGACCATTCAGCAGAACGTCTTAAATACGAACTACACTAGAAAATATGCAGTTTCAAGAATTTTAAATTAATGATAAGGCTGTTTTCATGCTGCATAGAGATTTCGAGTGCACAAAACAAGCACTACGGGGGAAAAGGCAGATCAACACGGTCAGAAGTGACTCGCCCACTCTGGAGGCTAGTGGTGAGATTGAACTCAAATGCAGTTGACCAATAGGACTGAGACAAAATGATTGTTCACTCAACGTTCACTTGAACCTCTTGCGCAGGGCCACTCGCCTTTCCTCCCAAAGTATAGATTAGATCATAGAGTCATGGCTTTGTCAACTTGACTAATGAGCGAAGAAAGGCAGAACTCTCACTCAAGAGAATCTGCTAACTCAGTATGTGAGGCTCAGCCCCGAACACCTTTCGGCAAACCAGAAGTTGGAGACTGAAAAGATAAGAAAGGGAGATATAGCTTTTGCCTTATTGTTAATGAAATACGATTAAAACCACAGTATACAAGAACTTTGATAGGAAACTAATGAGAAGATTTTCTAATGAGGTTTTCCCAATGAGAAATGGAAAGGAGTAGTTTTCATTCCTCATTGGAACTCCTCATCAG